GTGCGTTTAAAACTTGGCAGGACCAGAGCGTCACTGATATCTTTAAGTACCTTATCAATAGTAGGGGGTTCGTTTATAAAAAAATATTGATGTACTATTCTTCTGATTGCATTTCTATCAAATCTACAATTTTTTTACGATTTTGGTTGGTTTTTGGCGCCGAAAATGTATGGTTAGTGATATTCTTTGATAATTTTGTAGATGCTGCGACCACACACTCTTGTTTTACTTGCCACTTTGTTTGCAAATTCATCTTTAAGTAATATTGGATTTTCTTGAGTCTTATGCTTATAAACGTTTAAAATCATTTCCTTTCTTTTTATGTCGAAATGAGACTTTTTCGACCTTTGCCTAGGAGGAGACAAATACATTTCTGTAGACTCATCAGCTGTATCCATGCTAGACATGTTTAAGTGTCCTGGATATTTTATTTAATATACCAAACAAGTATTTAAACAATACACAAAAAGTTTCGGGATATGCCCGAGGAACAAACACACTGTTATTTAATATAGGTACTTCGAAAGTATTTAAATAAAACACAATATTCAAACTACAAGGTTTCTGAGTATTCATTTGCATCAAAACAGTAAAGAGCAGCTCTAGCAGTTTATGGCCGTTAGACCAATAGCATTGCAGATTCCAGCAAGCCATGAGGCGATCACGGGCTGATCATTGTTTACATGCGCTGAATCTCGGATTGGAATAGACTTTAGTTTATTTTTTTTGTAATTTGTTCACAGCGAGATGTATATGGCAACAAGTTAAAAATAATTTAATTTATCCATGGTTTTTTTTTTTAAATGGGACACCTTGTACTTTATATTTGAATAACAATATCAAATTACTAAATAATATGGGACCAGTTATATTGAAAATCATTTAAATCTTTTTTTTACTCAAAGATACTTTCTAAAAAACTTTAAAATAAACAAAAAATCATTAGTGGGAAAAATATTTAAAATCGAAAAATTTTATTTAAAAAAAAATATTCTTCTGTCAATTGGTTATCTGACCCATTTTTTAAATTGCAATATTTTTTTAGGAACTATTAACAGAAACATCAATAAATACAACTCTTGCGTCGGCAATAGATACATTTTGTAGAGAAGGCCAAGCCCCGACAGCGTACTTATTACTTGGGACAGTCGCGAATTCTCTGGTTTTGCATCCATCTCAAGACTCTAACGTATTAAAATCTTTAAAATTGCTCGAAAAAAAATGTTTGGTACAATTTATTAATGCAGTTGTATCGGCTGAACACATCGATTTGGAGCTATTGTACAATTTATTTTTAGCTATGCCGCAGGACTACAAAAAATATCTTACCCATTTTTTGCAAACACATAGACAAAATTTTAGGAAACTAAAAGATTTGTCGGGGGTTGGTAAGTATTTTGTAGAATTTAGAATATTGAGATGAAATTTAGAGATAATTTTAAAAAAACAAAACAATGTAGATCTTAAAACTTTATAAAAAAAAAAATGTTTTTAATAAATATTATATTTTGAAAAGTTTTACCAAACTAACTAAAATGTAATATAAAATTAAAAAAAAAAAAACAATAAAACACGGTTTTTAAAATAACTTTCAATAAATTAGTGTAATTTTTAAAAATAAACTCACCTGTGGAAATTTAATATTTTAAAAATAATCAAATTGTCCAAAATCTGCTTGGTCGTATCCAATTTTCAACTAACTAACTAAATTTTAAAGAGAACTCTAAGTTTGTCGAAAAAAACTAAAAGAGATACTTTAGAAACACTTATTCTTCTTGTTCCTCTTAAATTTTTATCCATTTAAGCTAGTCAGAATTACAGACCTATTAGTATTCATTACTCCTAAACTTTTTAAAAAATTAATGGTCTGTGATCCTTCTTGGCACTGTAATAATTTAATAATCCATGAACAACATGGTTTTTCCAGAGGTAAATCAACAGTTACAAATTTGAAGGTTTATCAGCAGGATATTCTTTCTCAATTTGGTGTCAATCTGCAGATGGGTTCAATTTATTCTGACTTCTGTAAAGCCTTCGACCGTAGAGCTCGATTTTTTTGTGGTGAAGAGCACACTTCGTCATGCAGAAATCAATTTGAGTTTGTAGGCGTGGTCAGATAGATTTAAACGTGATTGAAGCCACCTGCCGCTCATCACCGCTCATACAAGTTGAATTCAGTAGCGTAGTGTTACTTATTTGTATTTGTTGCATTTATTTAGCTATTTTGAGTGTGGCATAGCTACGACGAAATGTGCTCTTCACAAAAAATCGAGCTCTATTATAAACCATTCATTATTATTACACAAACTTTGACTTCATGGCTTAAAAGCTATTTAACTCCATCCTTTGGAATTTCTAAAATTAACTGTTGACCTTGTGTTATTTAAATTGATTTCGGGTTTAACTAATTGCAGCAACATGCTTCAATTTATTCAGTTCCGTATTCCTCAAAGGTGTACGAGAAACAAAGATTTGTTTATTGTGTCCTTTCAAGCAACAAATTATGGCTATTTTAGTCCTTTTTCAAGAATGGTCAGAAAGACCAATGCGTTAGAAATCAATTTTTCTGTAAATCTATATTCTTTAAAAAAAAGTTATAAATATTTGTATTATTATAGTATGTAAATATTTCTGTATATTTCTTTTTCCTACGACCACTTAGGAAAGTGACACATATCACACTATATATAATCCTATGGAAAGTGGTCTATATCACACACGTATGAATAAGAATTTACTTTCCACCAGTGTGCGAATATGCTACTTTCCGCATCTATGTAATGTCCATGTTACAACTAAAATCGATATGATTGTAAAATTATTGAAATTGTTGTAAATTAGATCCTAGATATTTATCTTTAACAATTATTATTAAAATAATTTTAAAATAACTAAGTTATGTTTGCTTTTTATTCTGGTTAAAGCCGATTAGATCATTTAATTGACGCAAGGCCTATTAGCTCAGGTGGTAGAGTATCAAACTTTATCAACTTTGCCATTTGAGACCTGGCGAGCGACCGCGTTCAAATCCTTGCGGGGGCAGAATTTCTTTGTTTTTTTTTTTAGTTTTTTTTTGTTTAAAAAATATAAAAATTGAATAAATACGATTCACCGGCACACAAAAAAAAGTTGTCAGTAATTTTGACGGGACCGGTAATATCTTTATGTATTTCGACCCGCTGAATTCGAATCTGAGGTTCGTTTGACCCGTACACCGTCAAATTTTTCAGAAAACTTTAAAAAACTGCCGATTTTCGTCAGTTTTTTCGGTTTTTCAAAGATATACCGGTCCCGTCAAAAGTACTAACAACTTTTTTTTATTATTATTTGTTATTGTTTTTTTTTAATTAATTTTAATTATTATAATAACCTGGTTTTACATTTTTTGATGAAATTATTTTGTGGTCGTAGGAAAAATATTGTACATCACTTGTGTGAAAAGTGATTTTCCACACTCGCGTGATAGTCGCACTCGGCTTGTGCCTCGTGCGAAAATATTTCCCACTCGTGTGAAAAATGTCACTTTCCACACTCGTAATCTAATATACTATATTGCATTTTTTTTTCTATAAAGGGGTTTTCCCCTATAATAAATAAATAAAATAAAAACAAAAATTCTAGGTATTGCATTACTAGATTTTTTCAAAGACACCGAAGGAAGAGCAATTTTGATAGATACCGTCAAAAGTTGCAAATGGTGGGGCCAGTTAACCAGTATTCATTCTAAAATGATCTACAAGGAATTTTTTAAATCGGACCCCGACGCGAGATTAAAATTAGTAATAAATCTCGATGCAGTTGGATTTGAAGAAATCAATTCGTTTTGCAAAGACTTTAATTTAGATGTCGATGAATACAATCGAGAATATTTAAAAAGGTAAGAGAGGTTTTAATGTAGGAAATATTTATTATTGGAACAAATAAATTAATTTCTTGGACATCCCCGAATAAATGTTTTTAAATTAAGTTTGAGAAAATAAACTTTATACTTAATTACATTATGTTTTTAACGTAATCGTCATGCCTCTAATTTATTTGTTTTCTTGAAATTTATTTTAATTTCTGCTTTAATTTATATTACTATTATGTAATGTGTACTTAAGTATAAATTAATTAATAACATCTATTCTATACATATAACTTAACTAAGTACACTCGGTATTTAGTTTTTTAAAAAGATTTATTTAATTTAAAGTACAACTTATCATATCAAGAACAGATTCTAAACTGAATTATAATGAAAGGAAATACCCTACACCCGGTGGCATTACACCTAAGAAGGTGGAATGACACAACTTATCTAATATAACAGTCAGCAGTTCCAAGGTTCATCCACGAGGTTTCTGACTCTATAACTTATATTTATTTCTTTAATATTAAATTCTTTAGATTCTTTAGATTCTTTAGATTCTTTAGATTCTTTAGATTCTTTAGATTCTTTAGATTCTTTAGATTCTTTAGATTCTTTAGATTCTTTAGATTCTTTAGATTCTTTAGATTCTTTAGATTCTTTAGATTCTTTAGATTCTTTAGATTCTTTAGATTCTTTAGATTCTTTAGATTCTTTAGATTCTTTAGATTCTTTAGATTCTTTAGATTCTTTAGATTCTTTAGATTCTTTAGATTCTTTAGATTCTTTGGATTCTTTTGGATTCTTTTGATTCTTTTCTTTAGATTATTTAGATTCTATAGATTCTTTAGATTCTTTAGGTTCTTTAGATTCTTTAAATTTCATTTCTTTATTTTTCTTGCGTTTCATGTTTTGCGTTCCTTGTGTTTCTGTGTTTGTTTCTGTGTTTGTTTCTTTGTTTGTTTCTTTGTAATGTACTTTTTTTTTATTGCTTTATTATTTCTTTATTATTTCCTTATTATTTTTATTATTTCTTTGTCTTATTTCTAAAGTATACTTATGAACTTAAATGTATTTAAATACGCTTAAATACACTAAAATACACTTAAGTACACTTAATAACAATTTTACATTTACAATACAAATTATTGAGAAATATTCACTGATTTTTTTTTTCAGTTCTCTACTAAATTTTACGCCACAATATAAAATTGAAAAGATGTGGGACAAAAAAGTACTCGTTGTAGAAAATAATGAAGACAGTCTTTACAAAAAATGTCAAAAAATTATTAGATCAATAAAAGATAAAGCAAGAGCATTTTTAGACATGGTAAACATATTAAAAGAGGTAATTGAATTGAAATTAAGTTATATTTACGGTATAAACCAGTGCCGGAGTTCGAATTGCAATCTAAATAAAAGTACAATTTTAATGAGCATAAATTAATTATAAAAAATATTAATATCACCAAAACAACTTATGTCAATTACAGGGTGCCGGAAACAGGAAGAAAATAAAAAATTAGTACATGAAAGTAAACATTTAAACAAAAAGTATCAAAATATGTGGTGCATAAGTTAAGCGATAATTCTTTACTACGTTGTTCGTTTTTTATGATTCTATTTTTGTTAGAAAGGGGGTACCTCAGGAGTGGTCTCATAGAAAGTTGGTCAAGATATAATAACGCGGTCTATGAGAAAATCATCAAACTTTTTTTTATGTATTTTCAGCTATAATTCTTTACCACTTTGTCCGATTTCTATAATTCTTTTTTTTTATTAGAGAGGGGATACATCAGGGGTAGTTCTGTATATAATTGGTCAGGATCTGATGATCTATGAGAAAATCAAAAATCTCATTTTTTAAAGGCATCTGCACGATTTAAAGTCAGTTTTTTAAAATTACTTTTTGATAACTACAATAACTACAGCGTACGCTACTGAACAAATAGATAGAATAAGCTTATTAATCTAATCAATTATTGCCTGGTACTGAAAGTTGTACCTTTTATTTCGACTCTAGGTAATATGTAACAAATTTTTATAAACGTTTAGGTGAATTTCTATTATTACGAAGTCTTTTTGACCATCTACAAGCTCTTAGAAGATAATACCCAAACAACCTACTCCGAGGATAAAAAGATGATGGTATTTTTGAAAGAATATACTAGATTCGGAAGGCCCAGTCAAAGAGAGAAAGAAGCGTGGTACACAACGTTTCCAGATACGCAAATTTTGGATCCACTTTCCGAATTTCGCGTACCCTTCATACCTTTATTGTTTTCTTCGGAAATTTGGAGCATTTTAAGACCCGAAGTCAGTTTGACTTCTTACAAGTTGTGGTTTAATGCTACATATATATTGAGTAATAATTTGAAAGTAGATGATATATGCGTGTATGCTGTAAAAAATGTGGTAAGTCAACAAATATTGTAGTATTTGAATAGGAAAGGTTGAAAATGAAATAATAATAGTTATTATTAAGAACAATCTTCTAAATTCATGACATTTATATATTTAAAACTGTTTATTATTTTAATTTATATATACACACTTATACACCAATTTATTTGTACTTAATACTAATTTATATAGACATTTACTTAAATTCTAATTTATGTGGACATTTACTAGCTATTGAAATTAGAAATTTTCAAGGTGTTCGATTTGCTCTTAAAGAAAATATTAAAATATACATGGTTTTGTAGTTTAAAAAAGTCTGTAGGTAGGCAGAATAAACATATATAGTTTAACGCAAATTCTAAAAAAAAAAGTTCAATATTAAGTCCAAATCAAAGTGAATGAAAGTTTGAATTGTGATTGACAGCTGGCTCTTTAGGAAATGCATTGATGTGTAATAGTGTAGTATTTTAAATTAATTCTGTAATATGTTGGCCAAGATCGCAATTTTTTGGATTCGATATCAACAAAATCAGTCGTGAGTTAAATTCTTTTTTTTTTTTAGGTTTCCAGTGGTATTTTAGGAACCTATGTACCCAACGATTGGAAGCTTTATTCCGAATTCGATGATCTTCTTCATAAGGTTGATGAATGCGTTCATAATATAAAGAATTTGGAAAGTGCAACCTCGGTCGTTTACGAATTGATGAACAATATACCAAATGGTAATTATAAAAATTATCGAATATTTAAACTTTAAATTTATTTTCTATACCTATCACATATTTTATTTCTCTAAAGATTTTATTGGTAATTCTTTTAATATTTCACCTGTGAAGTGCTTCGAATTAATACATTCTTGGATTTCCTTAGCTACGTCTTTATGTGGAGTTTTTATTACTTTTTTGTTCTCTTTAATAAATTGAGTCTAGGAATTTTTTTTTTATTTTTTCTTCTAAACTAAATGTCGCACATACTTTTAAAGGTGATTTTTGTCTTTTTTAGACGATTTTAAGATATACCTGACATAAAAAAATTTATAAATAATGGTCCGATCAGAAAAAAACATTTTTTTTTATAATTTACACAAAAGCAAGGGTATGGGAAAAAGATCATAGATACCATAACTTTTGGAATATTTCGGGGAGTCCTTCATAAGGTTGAAAGTCCAAAAAATATTTTTATACGAAGTGGATAGGTTTTTTTTTTAACATAGAATATATTTTGAAACCGAGAAATATTTTTGACCATTTTTTCCAAGTTTTTTTTTTCTTCTATCTAGACTAAAGGTCGCACATACTTTTAAAGGTGATTTTCGATTTTTTAAGATATCCCTGACAAAAAAATTATAAATAATCGACCGATAGGAAAAAAAATCAATTTTTTTTAATTTTACCTGGAAACAAGGGGTTGAGAAAAAGATCATAGAAACAATAACTCTTGAAATGTCCAAGAAATATTTCGTGGGGTCCTTCATAAAGGTTGAAAATTAAAAAAAGTTATTTAACGTATTAAAGGTCGCACATGCATTTAAAGGGGATTTTCGGTTTTTTACGAGGCGTATTCGGAAATGAAGTACCGTTTTGTGGAAAAAGATATAGTAATAGTATATTACGTAACAAGAGTTGTAAGAAACCCATTACGCACGAAGTGAAAAAGTTTACGAAAACTCGTGTAACGTACTATACTTTTTCTACCCCCACTTATTTTCTTCTATTAAATAAAGGACATATGCTACTGTCGCCAATCTATAAATTTTCGATAGGTAATTTCGTACCTTTTATGGATTTTAGTATGTGTGAGAGCTTGAGCTTTTTCTAAAATCTCCGATGGAGTGCTCATAATTTCATCATTTTCACTACTAACAGATATATTCGTAGGTAAAGTTGAGAAAATATTCGAATACAATAATATTTTGTTACAAAAATTGACAATATAAATGACAAGACGTTTATTTCCATAGCATGCTAAGAAAACGTGACTTATTTTTTGAAAAATTGTATAATTTGTTGCCGACATTTAGGGTCATCACTTTTTTAATCCAAAATGTATCTCGCTAATAATAAAAGTTTTTATGTTTTTCAATTGACTACATTTATGTAAATAGACCAAATAGATACGTAGACGTAGATAAAAATTTAATTGCAATTTGATTAAACTAAGAAAATGTCATTTACAAGGAATTTGACAGTGCGATTTTTAACGTTTAATGACATGGGCGTAGAAAAACATTTTTTTTTAATTTATTGTCACAATAAAAGAATATTTAAACTACTTTCCCACATAGTTTCGGCACTTGTAGCGGTCGATCAACTTATCTAGTCCTACCTCATAAAACAATGCCGCGAGGAGCGATGTGAACCATTGCTGCACACCGAGTTTCACTTCGTCGTCACTTTGGAAAAGTTTCTCGCCAAGATCCCGCTTTAATTGTAAGAAGAAGGGATAGTCCGATGGCGCCAGGTCAGGGCTGTAAGGCGGGTGATCGAACTGCTTCCATCCAAACTGCTGAATAAGAGTTTGTGTATCACTTAGCGTTTGGCCGAGCATTATCCTGAAGCAGAACAATTCCTCTGCTGAGCTTCCCTCTCCTTTTGTTCTGTATCGCACATCGATGATTTTTCAAAGTCTGAGTGTATGTGGCTGCATTGATGGTTTCATTTTTTGAGGGAAATTCAACCAACAGTACACCTTTTCGGTCACAAAACACCGCGAGATAGCAGACGATCAAGGACGACTAGCTAGCATGCGCGGAATGCCGATCGCCGCGCAGCAGCGGCGGGAATGCGAAACGGTACTTAATTTCTGGATACACTTTGTAATACCTCGGCGTTACTTTGTAATAAAATGTTAATTTTAAAATATTTATAAGAAATTTTGACTAGCTCATAGAAATTTAACACCAAACATTACTTACCTCTAGTAAAATTTAAAAGAAATGAACACATTGATCATATAGTTTTCTCAGTCGTGAATTCGGCTTTTCTAATAGACACCTTTGGGGATAATAGTTTTCTGGGAGAGATGGGCGCCAATATTTCTCTTTTTTTATTTTTAAAAAGCTAGTGAGAATTATAAACTTTAGCTTTATCAAAACGAAATTAATTAAAACTTATATAAAATTTAGGTAAAAGAGAATTGTTGTAACCTTTAAAAAAAATAAGATTCAACATATATATTTATAAAAATGAATTGGTTTATTCAGTAAAAAGTGAAAATTTTAAGAAACAAGTAAATATTAAATTTAAGCTGATAAATTTAACTTTTATTATATCTCCAATAATAAAATTAGCCACTATCTAGTTACCACTATATGGTTTTGGGTGGCAACTTCCTTAGGATGCAGTCTACTCGGGAACGAACACCAAATATCGTTTTTTCTATAATTCTGCTTTCAGGAAACTGCTTCAATGTCCAAAATGGAAGATATATACTTTGGAGCCCAGGTATAAATACTAACTCTAGTTTCTTGTTCTAGATCTGGCTTTTAGCTGCTTCTATTCGTTTTCTAAACAAAAAATAGATTCTGTTTTTCACGTGGCTCTTAAATTAAATCAAGATACAATAGAAACTAATTACTATAAACACTGTGCAATTCCAGCAACCAAAATAAAATATAAAAACATATTTAAAAAATTTAACTTTACTTTAAAAAAAAAAACTTATAACTAACAACAGGTTGAAATATAATTTTTATCGAGATATTTTTACAACGACATTATACTTATTTAACTTACCACTTGTACAGCCAAACACTAGGAGATAATATCGGGAAAGGAAATTTCAAGATCTAATGGCGAAATCGTTTGCTTTACTGAACTCCCACTTGACGTAATTTTCCTTTCTTAAGAATATTGCGTGCGGCGATAATTGAATTTAAATTAATCGAATACTATACAGGATGTCACACAATTAAAATAACATTTTTAACTGTAATTTTAAAATGTTACAACTTGGTATATAAATAAACCACAATCAGATTTTTTTTTATTTCACTCGAAAGCAAGGGTTGGGGAAAAGATCATATCCACAACTTTTGAAATTTTCAAGATGTCAGCTTTTTGTTCATTTGATCTTGCCCAGTTTCAGTTTTCTTCTTTTATTGGTGACATGTAGACTATTGGACGTTTAAGCTTCCTAATAGCTTTCCACAGAGTATTTTTATCATTAGTCAATTTTCTGAGATATGTGTATCGATTAATTTTTAATAATGATTAATTAATTTAATTGTGTTAGTCAGTTTAGAACTACCTTATCTTCAGGAAATCTGATGATTTGCCTTTTTTCTTGCATTTCTTTTTTTATTTATTAGATCTTTAATTTTTCTCTAGGATATGTATAGATGGTTTTTCTTATAATTTCTGATGTTCCATATTGTAAAAATGATTTTATTATTTATTGTATTAATATTTTTTTTACAATTTTTTAATTAACATTGTTGACGAATAAATTATTTTCTTACAGGAGCAGATAAAGTGAAAGCAGCAGAATTGAGTTTGAAATATGCGGTTCAATACAGAGGACAGAATATGCATAACTCCGAAGTGGAAAAGACCTTCAAAAAATTTACAAACAATTTTTACAGTTTATCAGTTAGACACGTTTTGCATAGATACAATTTGAACAAAGAAATCTATTTGAAATTGGTTACGCAGCCCGAGATTCTGATCGAAAACCTTTATACGGATGAAAGGGTTTCCAAGCAGACCGTTTTTGTGAGTTTGGATTATTCAGGTAAATAATATTTTTTTGAACTGTTTTTGGTAAACAATTGATTTTAGATCATGTTATTGAATTGTATATTTTCGGTCCCATATTGATTAAATATACATTTGTTGGTTCTTCATTTATTTGTAGATATCAACGATGCAGTAGATGCCATATCGGAGCTTTTCGGCTTAGATGTCGGGAATATAAGATTCAGTTTATTAAAACGTTGGTTAAGCAGTCCGAATGATTTCGATATGACACTAACGTTATCTCCCTTCAAGAATAATTCGTTCAACCGCGTTGAGGACGATGATAATTTAAAAAGGGCTATTTATATATGCAACAGTAGAAATCAACAGCATTTGGAAACGTATCTGTTAGAAGTGGTACTAACTGAGGACGATTTAGATGTCAGAGGCAGAAATATGGTTTTCAAAGCGAACGCTGCTAAGTGTTTTTGTGCTATTACAGACGAAGCGAGAATAATTGAAGTTACGAAGTTATCTTACGGGGAGTTTCTGTAAGTTCAGTATTTTAGTTGTGTGAAATTGAACCGTTACCGACTCTACTTCTAGCATAGCAAAGATAAATCTGGCAACGCGGCAATCGAGTCCCTTTCACTCATTTTTAAAGCATAACGTATTGTTTTGCCAGCTATTTTTTTTAAATAGAAATAGAATTTATTCATCTTCGAGAATTATACACTATACAGAGACACTAGGTACATAATGTAAAATCCTATCAGACTAGTCAAAAAAGTGTTAAGTAAAATACATTAAAAAATAAAATATATATAATAGACAATTAATGTTAAGATGATTCGTTTAAACGTTCAAAAAATCTATATTATAAAATACATTATTTACAATAAAATCATTAAGATGTTTTCTTACATCATTACGACTAATTTGATGATAACCTGTAGTATCTTCTAATATGTTACTGAACTTATTGTAACACTTAGTCCCAATATATTTTGGTGAATGTTGCCTTATTTGTAGTCGTGAAAAAGATTGATGGACGTTAAATTTTAATCTAGTATTATATGAGTGCAGGTCTTTATTTTCTTAAATATATGATCATTATCTTTTATGTATAAAGTCAGTTGAAAAATAAAAAGGGAAGGTAGTGTTAAAATTTGCGTTTTCTTGAAAATTTCTTTACATGATGTTGTTGGTGTCACCTTATACATGACTCTTAGAACCTTCTTTTGAGATACAAAAGCTCTTTCAAAGTATGGTGAAGAACCCCAAAATATTAACCCATATTGTAGAGTTGAATGAACCAAACCAAAATAGCATAGTTTTAAAGTATCAAAAGATAGTGTCTCCCTTACTTAATTTTGAAGTTACCATTTTTTTATGAGTTTCCCAATTTAATTTGGGATCATCTAATATTATTCTTAAAAATTTTATGCTTTGAATAGTTTTTCCGTCAACGTGCAAGTAGGGTTCGTAATCTGGTAATATGTTTTTGGGTAGAAATCGCATGAAGTTTGTTTTTCTTATCTTATCTTTACAATACTGGTTAAACTCATGAGATGCCTCGTTGCTACTTTGAGTGACCTGTTCAATTTGATCATCCGCCTTTACAATATTGATATCATCGGCATATTGAACTATTTGTTGAGAGCTTAAACAAAAATTACTTATATCACTTATAAAAACTATAAAAAGAAGTGGGCCCAAAATTGAACCTTGGGGAACTCCTATTGTACATGGAAGAGGATCAGATTTTAGACTATTTGTTATAATTACTTGAGTTCGATTTATTTAGTAAGACCATTGTATTTAGATCAACTAGTAAAACAATACCAATGCAAATTATCTTGGAGGACAATGGACAGTATCAATAGATGGCAGCAAGCTCCGTGGTGTCCAAGTCATGTCTTTGATAATTTTGTCGTCTTCGAAACGAACGTAATTTCTCTATTTACTAATAGATGGACCCATAATCGATTCAGAATATTTGTTTTAAAAATGGAATATACGAGTTTAATTATGCTTGTTGAACATTTATTTACGATTTATTATCATTTTAGAGAATATAAACAATAGTAATTTACATTTAGAACTCTACCCATATGAATTTAAAAATTAAGAAAATTTTATGTATATAGAATTCTGTACTCAATGATCGAGGAAGTGCTAGCGTTCGGGCTATTTTGATGAATTTCTAACAGATGTCGCGACAAAATTGCCTCCAATGAAACGTCCATAAGGTTGTTCTACTATCTTCTCTAAATACAATGGTAAGACCATAGATATATAACCAAGACAGATAGGATTATTTACAAAAATTTTGAAGAATGAACGGTGGTGTCCGCGGTAGAAACTCAATAATCGGATTGAACATTGATGCCAAGTTTACGTGCTTTTAACTATAGATATATATAACCAATACAGATTACACAATTTCTGAAGTCAACGCGGATGATCCTCGACAGAAATGCAATATTTGGATAAAATTAAAATATAGATGCCAAGTTTGCGATGTTTTTAACTGTAGAAATGTAATTACGTTTGCTTGTAATACTGTTAAGTCTTTAAATTGTCCAAAAAAAAATAACGTCTGACAACAGCGGAACTATTGTAGACCATAATTGTATTAGGGTCGTATTTTGTTTCATTCATAAAATTCCTTCGATACAGTACTAGTCCAGGAGCTAGTGAATTTTTTAAGTACTTGTTTTCCCGGTCCGTGTATATTTAAATAATCTTTTCCCAGTGAACTGTGTATTTAAAATGGAACGCCAATCTATTAACAAAAGTAAACCAGATTGAATTCGCGCATTACGTCACATTGATACAAGTGAGATTGTGTACAAAGTGCCTTTGCAGGTCTATTTTGCCCATTTCATGTATTTGTTTTTAAATCATGTTAAATTACTATTTTTGAAACTCAACAAGAAGAAAATCAAATTAACTCTTCCGTTGTGTATATATATAAGATAAATTAACTTTAGTTTTATTAGTAAAGTATTAACACTAAAATTTTCCATAAAAACGACCCCATCTCAAGCAACTTATTTTCACTGATAGAGAAATACGTTTTTTACATTTTTAATGTAATTTACAGAAAATAACTAGGTATGTATTTGTTCTTAAATAATTTGACAATTTATGAAAAAAGGGAGTAAAAGTGGAATTACCAGTGGCCAGTAGGTCAGTCAGTACAATGTATCATATATTTCTATTATAACATAACTAAAATACTTACATCTTTTAATCATAATGGCACAAGTTAAAAACCGTTTTAATATATGCATTAGAATGAAGTAATAATAACTTAAAGAGACGAGGTCTTAAAGTAATAGCTGGTACAGCATGTTTTTTAAACCTTTCCTAGTTCCTGCTAGAATGAAATCACTTTATATGAAATGTGCTCTAAAAACGGCATATATAGCAGTCAGTGTTTCAGTCTTAGGTTCTCTTCCTAAAGCCCTCATTCAAGCTGCATACCTATTGAAAAATAATTTAAAAAAACATATTATGTAACTATATAGTTTTCGGTTCTAGGTGCCCCAAAAGAGGACACTTAGCCGATAATTTGGCTCAGATAGCTAAAAATCAACAGTCACACTTCGAACCAGGACGTATTGCTATCCTTTTAAGTAAAAAATAACTAAAAATAACTTACCTGAAAAATGAAAGCGTCTAACTTTACACCAAAAAAAAACATACACTTTTTCCCATTGTTGCAAGCACCCGATGATGATTAGGTAAATATCAACTAGAAGCATGTACTTAATGGTTATAAAGCTTATTTTAACACAAAAAGAATAAAGCACTAGTCGAAAAGCAACAATCAAATATAAATAGACCACATTAAAATTCAAATTAAAAACTATAACTATAAAAGACAAATACTCTAAAAGCGCAAAAGATCAGAACCAAATAAAATTAATAACCATAATAACCTAACAATCACACTAAAATTGCAAAAAATATTACTGTAAAATTATGAGATTACATCAATAATGCATATGCGTCGGAGTATCACAAATGTCAAAAGTACAGTGTTTCCATGAAAATTTAGCTGTTTTTAGCAGTATTATAGGACCATTTCTACCACGCGTATCCAACGATATTGGCGTTCCACAGTTCACTGTATTTTCCTCACACCTCTAGTATAAATGATTTGACATAACGAAACTAACAATAATTATACCTAATGTAGAGTAATAAGTGTTTTGTGAATTCTAAATAAAACAATTATTATATAAAAGTGTAAAAGGAAATGTAATTTACTTTCCTATTTTCTTCTGTAATATCTTCAATTATTATGTTTAATTTCTATAAATAAACCAACTGGTTAGGTGAAACATTGTGATATATAATTTTATTTATGTGTCCTATGCGTACACTTTAATATACAAAACACCTTTAAACATTCTTTAAATAATTGTGGTCGTAGAAATAATTGTGTACATAACTCGTTTGAAAGTGTATTTTATGCACTTGCCAAATATATTATCCATACTCACAGATTAATCAGACTATTTTTTTACTTAACTTCAGTACATCTCTTACTACTAAAACTATTTTTATCAATGGAAAAAAAGGGCCGTGTTCTCGTATGTTTTGACGCATTTTCGGCCTCAGCCCATTGGATCCTCCCTCTAAATATATATGAATTTTGCTTAGAATTGCTAATCCTACAATTCTCTATCCGTGCTTGCTGACTGGGAAAATAAATACCGAAAATCGTCGCTGTCTCCTGGACTATAGAGTAGATGATGATGAGGACTTCACAACAAATACACTTTTATGAATGGCTAGTTGGGGATGTGGGTAAGACTGTATCCTTTCATAACGTTTCCCTCGTATTCCTAACCCATTCATCTTCAATAATAAAAGATTAGGATCCACCATATCAAATGCACGCCTAAGGTCATAGGAGAGTCCCAAAATATGTTTTTTATCATTGAGTGCTTGATATATAAACTCTAGGCAAGCTGCAATTGCAGTAGATGTTGACTTATTTTTTCTAAATCCATTTTGAGTATCTGGCAATATATTAAAACTTTCAAGGTAATTAGTGAGTCTAATAAAGTATGCTGACTCAAATATTTTAGTTATTTGACTAGATATACAGAGATTAAACGATAATTTTCTATATTAGATGCAGATCCCTTATTTTTATGAACAGGAATTCCTGTAGATTCCTTCATATTTGGGAATAATCCCGAAACAAAGGATTCAATAATCAAATGTGAAATGTCAAATGGGTTCAGCAATACAAAATGAGCAACCGGCAACCGATAACAGAATTTTACCATTTATTTCGTCAATACCTTCAGTGGGTTTAGAAGTAGTTTTTTTGATTATAGTGATGATTTCACTAGGAGTTGTTGGAAAAAGAAAAAAACTTTTATGATGTTTATCAATACTCATAGTATAGTTAGGTATAATAGTATTTTTATTTACACTAATAAAATAGTCATTGATATAGTTTACTTTTTTTAAGGGTGTTAATTTGTCATCATTTGTAGGTTTAATAGGATTCAGTAAGTTTTTTTCTTTTTCTCCTACTCGTTTATTATATTCCAGGATTCTTTCATTATGTTATTACTTTTTAAAATACGATCATTATTTTTTTCTTCTTAAATATTGTTTTGTTATTTTTTGATACTCTTTTTTTAAATTATTGTAACGTTCTGTATAATATGTAGAATTTATTTCTTTCTTTAACCTGTTCATTTACATAATAGATTATGTAACTCTTTAATATGAGGTGGAAACTGATTTTTTAATTTTTGTTTTTTTATCCTTTCTTTGTTTTCGTAAATACAATATTGTAGTGGTATAGGAATGATTCATAAAAGATATAAAATGTATCATTAAAATTAGTAAATGTGTATACTTCACGCCAATTTTCAACTGATAAAATATATATAAAAGTTATTGCTTTGGGATCACTTAAATCTCGTTTATATCTGTATTTAAATTCGTTATTTTCAAAATTTGGTAGTTTAATCGAACATAAGTAGTTATGATCAGACAAAAAAGTATCATATACACCCACCTTATCTACATCAAAATTGGTCAAAAAATTATCTAAACAAGTTGAGGTTGTACTTGTTGTTCTCGTTGCAACATTTATATGATGTTTAATATTAAATTCCTTCAGTAAGTCAATTAAAACAGTTTTTTGATTACCTTCAATAAAGAAATATACGTTAATATCACCACAGATAAAATAGTGATTGTCGTTATGATAAATATTATGAATTAATAGCTCTATCTGATTTATAAAAGTGCTAAACTTAGTACAAGGTGGCTTATACACAGTAATAATAAATAAAAAAAGTTTAGAATCGATCTTTATTTTTCCACCACATACTTCAATGTAAATTAATTGATTCAAAATTTGCAGCTATACTTGTTTTCATAAATATACTAGCACCACCTTTTTCTTTATTTATCCCTGAAAAATATGATACTAGCTTAAAATCGTCAATTGAGGTAGCTTGTAAATTGTTAGAATCAAGCCAATGTTCAGTAACACACAGAATACTTACATTTTGTTTTTGTAAAATTAAATTTAGATGAAAGCATTTATTGGCAAAACCTCCTAGTTTAGGAGCCCACTGCAAAATGTTGGGTCGATCACTAGTATGGCTAAATTTTCATGAAAACGTCGGGTAATAAATATATTGTACAATAGTAATCCGTCGTTTGCGTTTTACGTTATAAAAAATTATTAACAATTGAAAATATGTGCCACCCTCCACCCATCGCTTTTTTGCCAAATTTTCTGCTTAATCGATAGATAGCAGTTAAATATAATTTTCTATACCCGGCTGCCGACCATCATCCTTTGCGTTAAGGGTGGCTGATGGGGCCGAAAAGTACTATATCGATGTTGCTTTTATACACTTATCGCTTTTATAGTTAAACAAAATACCGTTGGAAAAGTCGCAAAATTTCCAACAAAAAAATACCCGGCTGCTGCGCGAAAGCGTTTGCATAACTTAGGCTGTCGCGATTTTGTGCTCTCGCAAGATTCGATCATGTATGAAATCAGCGCTTTAGATAAATTACGTATACGCTTTAGCAACATGCGAGATATTTGCTATTCTCGACATTCGGTTTAAAAGCTTGTACGTTTCTAAAACGGGTATTTTACAGCCAGCGGATTTTTCATACGTTTTTGATAAAACGTGCATGTTTTCAAGGATTTAGCTAATGACACTTTTAGGATGAATAATAATAATATTGATTGATTTTAACAAATTACAGGTAAACTATTTTTTATTAATATCTATGAAAGTATCTAATTTTTTACAAATATGGTTTGTAGTACTAAAAAAGTCTAATAACTGAGAATTTCTTTCAATTTTTATTAATTATTCAATTAGAAAACTTGGAAGATAAAAATCCTTAAAGATTCAGACACGCAGAGGCAGAATTCATTTTTTGAATTTAAGGAATATTTTTTTATATCTTACCGTGCAAGAATTTAATTATTAGGTAATTCATGTCTGTTTTATTTACAGAAATTAATTTGCTTGCGGTTTCTTGCAAGTGGTAGTTCAAAGCTCTTTTGTATCACACGTTGTGATCAGAAATTTTAAAAATTTGGGCACAAAATAATAAAAAACTAAATGAGATAAGTTAAGTTATTATTTAAATTAATTTTGTACTTTAAAAACTAGGTTTTTTATGACGTACGATTTTCCTAGAATTTTAGGTTGTATTAACTGCACCCGTATAACTATTTTTCCGCAAAAAAAAGCGATTCAGGTTTTCCTGAACATTTATTTATTATGTGATTAGAAAAATCATCATTCGATAAATTTACAAATGGTTTGTTGTAATTAAATTACATATGCTGCGTTTGAATATCTACATCGGATGCATCTGAAATGTGAATTTTTATCACGTGATAGTGGATTAAATTTAAACGTAGATGTAATAAACAAACGATCTAGACCTTATTGGTCACGTGACAAAATGACAATGATAAGTTAGAAGTTTATATTTTTTAAATTTGACTTTTGAAACTAAAAATCAACCTATATTTGAAATCTAAACAAAAATTAAACACACTAATCACTTTTATATTCACGCTATAATAAAAAAAGGATAAATTAATCTTGTCTTCACAGAACACCTACTTTCTGGCATGGAACGAACATCTCATCACATCTCATTTCAAATCGAGATATAAAAAAATGTAATCTGGACAGCTACATCTGGGATAAACAAACGCAGATGTAGATGTAGTAGATGTTTCCGATGTGGATAAACAAACGCTCGAGATGTTAAAAATGTATCGGATGTGGTTATTCAAACCCGGCAATAATCCTAATTTTTTTATGGCCTGCACATTACTTGAATTCAACAATAGAGACATTTTACGGTAAAGCCAGACATATTATTTGCTTGTTAAAAACGTACACGTTTTAAAAAACAAATGCTCATCGAACGCCAGTCAGGGATATAGATTTTAAAAACTACTCGCTTCTCAACCACACACTTTCGAAAACGGTTCGTTTTTTAGGGATTGTCGAGGATAGCCGCCCTTGGTTTTTTGTATGCAAAAATGACGGTAACTTCTTGAAATGCAGCGACGAAACTTAAAAAAAAGACCAATGTACTAGAATTTCGCAAAGAAAAAAATTTAAATACGGAAATTTGTTGTTGCTAAACCAATATGACGCCTAATATCATTCGAAATGTTTAAAGAAAATAACAACTTTGAACCCAAAATACCGAGATGAACTTAAACTTGAAAATATTAATTTGCAAACAACTGTACGTATTGACTTTTTATGTGATTATAAATCTATCTACTGCATTAAATGCAGATTAAATTTAACAAATAAAAATTAAGTGGTTGTGGAATTGCCCGTAAGAAAATAATTGTATTTCGAAAGAAACGCGAACGAAATTATCGAGCAATATATGACAGCGGTGTCCATTCCGATATCAATTACTCAGAAAGCGATTATTCTGAGGAATTTAGTGTATATTCTTAAACTTATTTTTTCACATTTTGTTAACTTTAACGATGTATAATTTTATAAATTGCAAAAAACAAAACAAAATTAAGACTTCTCTATTCATTTACCTCTCTTGAACATTAAGTACTTTCTCTGCTTTAGGGACGTTTTAAGCATAACTAAAAATAAAAACAATAAAAAACAACACATAAACTATATATTTATAAAAACAACAGAACAACAAATATTCAAAGAATACATGAAAGCGAGACGCTCTAGCTTTAATTGTAAACTCGCGTGTTCTAATCAGGGACAATAACAGATGTCAAATAAACGTCAGCTGTGCGCACACTCCCAAACTCCTTATCTAAAGCGCGGATTTCATATGTGATCGAATCTTGCGCGCGCACAATATCGCTGCAGCCTAAGTTATGCAAACGCTTTCGAGCGGCAGCCGGGTATTTTCGTGTTGGAAATTTTGCGACTTTTCCAACGGTATTTAGTTTGACTATAAAAGCGATGAGTGTATAAAAGCAACATCGATATAGTACTTTTCAGCCCCATCAGCCAGCCACCCTTAACGTAAAGGATGATGGTCGGCAGCCGGGTATAGAAAATTATATTTAATTACTATCTATCGATTGAGTAGAAAATTTGGCAGAAAAGCGATGAGTGGAGGGTGGCACATATTTTCAATTGTTAATAATTTTTTATAACGTAAAACGCAAACGATATTGGGGCGGCTGCCAACGGATTACTATTGTACAATATATTACCCGACGTTTTCATGAAAATTTAGCCATACTAGTGATCGAGCCAACATTTTGCAGTGGGCTCCTAAACTATCGCTGTATATTTAACTGTTGGGAACTGCAAAATAGTAATTAATTATTTTCTCTCAAAAATTGGTTTTCCATAGTAGTCCTTGAGATCCCTATTTTATCAGGTTTGAAGTAGAGGCTAGGTTTGAAAAATTTTCTTCACTCTTATGCGATCTCTGGTTTTGTGAATCTTTAAGAAATCGCTGACCTTGTTTAAAGTTGAATCGGGAATAAATTATATTTTTCGGCCAAAAATCTGATTTATATACTTGCTCCTGAAAATAAGGATCTATTCCCACTAGAAAAGCTTGATTATTCTGTCTTACAAAATATGTGTCTAGTTTCTTCACATAAATGTCTTCTGCGTTTGTGCGTTTATGAATGTATTTCTTAACATTCTCTTCATTTACAGTGTCTGATACTCTAGATACAAAGAGCCAAATTTTTTTGTTTGATTTTTCCCTTCCTTTAAATTCATCACCTTCTCCACTTCCCATAATTGTTTTGTTTTTATCCTTTGCCGTCTTGTTACTGTGATATAATCATTCTCATGACTCCCCTCATCATTGGTATCATCTGCAAGATTATTTAATTAGTTTTTTGTAGGTTTTGAATTTTCATTAGTTCTAATGCAACTTGTGTACTTTGGAGGAATGAGTCATCCTGTACAGGGGCATTCCTATAATCGCTTGAATTTTTGTTTGGTATTAAATGTTTGTTTTAATTTTTCTATAAAAACTGGTCTTTTATTATCACTAATTTAGGATTTATTTCGTTATATTGTGTTTGCAGATCAGAATATTTCGTTTCTTCATTTTTAAGTTCAACTTTTAAGATTTCTATTTTTTCACTGATTAATAATTGGTTTGCTAGTTTTTGTTCTTCTACTAGTAATTTTAAAAAGTTGTAAGCATTAATGCAAAATACCTTTACTTTTTTCTTGATCCAAAGTCTTAAATTTTTCACTAACTTTTGGTTTACAGCATCTTATGATAGCATTTACTCTTTGTGCACACGATGGATGATATTTCAAGTCACATATTTTACATTTTACACTAGCAGTTACTGATTTTTTACAATAATTACATTCATTAGTATTTTGCGCGTGCGGTTCAGTTGGCGCCAAATTAAAACATGTATTAACGTAGAGTCAAAAGTTTGTGAATTTTTCTTTGTGATAAACTATATAATCTTAACGAAATAAAGTAGTTTTTATTGTTACATTTGTAGCTCTCACATTTAATTAAAATAAGTGTTAAAAAGTGTCTGCTGTCCCCTCGCCTCTTTCCCTCTCTCAGGAAATTTATATTTTTCAACTACATGCCCCATAGAATTGACTAATCAAAAAATTACAAATCAAATCTACCCACTTAGTGTTTATTTTTCTGTTTTTTAGTAAATATGTTGATAAGCTAGTTCTATTAAGCGAATTGGAGTCTTTGGGAATAATGTTGAATATAGAAACCCTAAATGTGATGAGTAAAAGAGAATTGCTTAAGAAATTATATCATATGGGTAAACCTCTGGCTATTAAATGTATGGGCGCCGTTTGCATGACATATTTTCTAGAGGAACATAAATATTGGGAATACATTATAAATTGTTCTATCAAATTTGAAATGGTAAGTCAAAAGAATGGAATTTACTACAAATATTGAGGAATATTTTATTTTTACCACTTTTAGTAATGATTTTATATATAGTTTTGAATTACATGTATATTTTTTATTTCAGATAGCAGATTTGAAAACGTACGTTGATTTTCTGAAAAATAAATGCGACAAACAGTTTTATATAAACGCTTGGCAAGTCATAATAGACAAAACATTTCAAGAAATCATTCATGTATCTAATGAGGATTTGGAAAAAACTTTGATCAACAACTTTTTAATGATTCAGGTATGTTTGGTCGATCAGTATGTGATACGTTAATATTAGTTAAATAATAATCAAAATTATAAAAAAAAATTTTATCCAGCACTAACATTTTATCAATTTAATATTAAAACCACCAATTCAAAAACCCTTTTTCACCTTCCTCTCTCTCTCCATCGATATTCCTCTTGATCCTACCGGAACTCTCACTTCGCGTCGTCCCGGTGTTCTTCGTCTTGTTTACCGTTATTGTACGATAATGATTAACTTCTTTTAAAATGGTCCAGTTACACAAACTGAAAGGACGCTTTTTATTATTTCTATTCAAGGGGGACTTTTTTGATTAAATACGATTGCTTTAAACGCTATTTTTAATTTTTTTAAACTATAATTTAGGATATGTTATTTTTAAGTTCTAATATACTCGGATACTAATTTTAATCAAAATCTGTAGACTTTTATTTTTTTTTTTAACTTCTCACCCTGTACATGACTGACCGGAAATATAACTGGTTTTGAACCAGAAAGGATCCTTACTTTCATAAAGTATTTCTTTAAAGCCGTTTTTGAGCAATTGCTCTAACAGACCAACAGAAAGTGGAAATATGTTTTTTGTAATCCAGTGACCCTGAAACGTGAAGATCTGTAATAATTTTGGAGGGATGATTACAATACATAAAAACGAAAAATAAATTTCACTTTGATACCCTGTATCTCTGTAGTAATTAATATTTAACCGAAGTGTATATTGGTCATTTCTTATGAAACAAATCATATTTTAATCGTGTATTTAACCGACTTCAAATAATATTATAATAGTATTACAAATTAAAAATTTAAAAAAACCGACTTCAAAAACGTGCAGATGCCATTACCACATCTTAACCAAATTTATATGGGACCACCCCTGAGGTACCCCCTTACTAACCAAAAAAAGAATCGTATAAATCGGACAAGGTGGTAAAGCATTATCGCTAAATAAACATAAAAAATGAAGAGTTTGAGGATTTTCTCATGGATCCAATTATTAGATTTTAATCAAATTTATATGGGACCACCCGTAAAGTAGCCCCTTTCTAACAAAAAAGAATTATTGAAATCGGACACCGTGTTAAAAAATTATCGCTAAATATACATACAAAATGAAGAGTTTGAGGATTTTCTCATGGACCCAATTATTAGATTTTGACTAAATTTATATGGGACCACCCCTGAAATACCCCCTTTCTAACAAAAAAAGAATCATTGAAATCGGACACCGTGTTAAAGAATAATCGCTGAACATACATAAAAAAAAATCGCGACGAATTGGTAACCTCCTCCTCCTCCTTTTTAACCGACTTCAAAAAAGGAGGAGGTTATCAATTCGTCGCGATATTTTTTTTTATGTATGTTCAGCGATAATTTTTTAACACGGTGTCCGATTTCAATGATTCTTTTTTTGTTAGAAAGGGGGTATTTCAGGGGTGGTCCCATATAAATTTAGTCAAAATCTAATAATTGGGTCCATGAGAAAATCCTCAAACTCTTCATTTTTTATGTATGTTCAGCGATAATTTTTTAACACGGTGTCCGATTTCAATGATTCTTTTTTTGTTAGAAAGGGGGTACTTCAGGGGTGGTCCCATATAAATTTGGTCAAAATCTAATAATTGGGTCCATGAGAAATTCCTCACTCTTAATTTTTCATGTATGTTTAGCGATAATGCTTTACCGCTTTGTCCTATTTATATGATTCTTTTTTGTTAGTAAGATAAGATAAGATGTGGTGACGGCATCTGCACGTTTTTGAAGTCGGTTTTTTTTTAATTTTTAATTTAGATCACTTGTTTTCATACATATTCCTATTTGATTAATTTTTATTTAATTGTTTTTGAAAAAAATTTTTTGTTTTAGTCTTTTTAATAAAATTATGGAGATATGTAATAATATAAACAAGACAGAATATGCTGCTCTGCTTATTCGGTATATGAAGAAATGTGATAAAGGTAAATTTCTTTATTTAGTTTTAAACTGTTTGGTGTTTTTATTGCATGGCTACAGCTTGCAATTCAGAATTGTAGGCAGCAAAAAATTACCTTGCCTTCGGACATTGCCCACTGAATGACTGAACTGACACTGCCTGTTTTTTAAAATTCCTGATTTTAAATATGTTTCCCTAGGTAGTAAAATAAAATAGCTATTTGTATATTAACAACTATAGAAAAAGTTAAGATTGAGAAATTGTGAACTAATTTGATTTTATATTTTAAATCTTTTTCTTTTTTAATAAATTCGAAATAAAAAGTATCAACTATATTTTTTTTAGGAGAGTTTATTCCACGAGATTGATTTTACAAAATTGAAGAATAAAGGATTATGGGGCGTGCATAATGTAAGTAAAATGTTTTTTTTTTAATGATGCATTAATATATATATATATATATATATATATATATTTTTCTTTTCAGTTAAATACGAATAAATTAGAATTTAATTAGTTATAATTTGTTAATAAAAGTTTTCATTTATATGTATTTTATTTATATACGAAGAATTAATGTTCAAAAATGTGTGTGTTTCTTCTAATGGCCTTAATAATCGCAGGTGAGAGCTAGACGAGCTACTCTGTGGCGCCACTCAGTCACGCTGCTAAGTGGCGTGCACGAGGATACCGTTTTTGTTGTGCGGCTCTCGTTGGCTTTCGGTAGCTCCCGCCGGCTCTCGGCTCTGAGCAGACCCAACGCTTTTTGACGGTGTGTATTTTAAATTAAATGTTTACGTTTGGCGTTGGCGCGCTAAACTCTAAACTAACCTCTCTTTTGAGATCTTTTCTCGAATTTGGAGAATTTCACCCTCAATTTTAAAGAAATTGTGTTTTCTAGTTGTTATTTTACAAACTAAAGAAGTGTGTTTACTTTTGGCACGCGCAGGAGCAAGTTTTAGCTATATCAAGCTAGCGGGCACCCTGTGGCGGCACCATTAAAGACCTGGCGGGTTTTTTGTAGCTTTTTTGTTACACTATTTGCAAATTTGTAGCTTAGCCCAGGTCCGAAAAAACAGCGGATCCGCTAGCTTGAATTTCCATAAATTCCATAGTATCGGCACAGATTCAGACCCAGCTGGTTTTTCGTAACTTTTTTGTAGCTTTTTTGTTACGCTAGTCTCCCTTTTGTAGCTTGTACTGAACCTGAGAAAAGCGCGGATCCGCTAGCTTAGCGGATATTTGTAGCGGCACCAGCCCGGACCCGGCTCATTTTTTGTAACTTTTTTGTAGCTTTTTTGTTACGCCTGTCTCGATTTCGTTACGAGGCCTGAACATGAGTAATAATCGTTTCTCCATGAGCGTGAGAGAAAAGTGCGTTAATAATCAAGTTTCGGCCTCTACAAGTAATATGTGCAACTCGATAGTGTGACTATCTGTTGCTAGATGGCAGCAGTATTTCATTTCACGAATTATGGCCATCTTCCATCAAATATATTTTTGAGAAATTTAGATATAATCTCAAAATCAGACATTTTCAACGGTATGTATATTAATTATTTGTCCGATATTAATGTAAAATACATATTGACAAGATTATTAAAATAGTTGTATGTCGGACGCCACTATTTTCCCGATCGGGTGTTTTCGGTTATTTTTACTGCTGAAAACTTACTGCTAACTTCACACCGGTGGTAATAGCTACCAAGCAATTACCTATTCTCACTATATACAGGGTGTTCCATCTCAGACGAGCCTCCCCGTATAGTTCTTATCCCATAGTAATTGGAAAAATTTCCCGAAACACGTCTGATGATTTCTTTGGGGGACATTTGACGTATATTTGAGGCTTGAACGAGCAACCCCCTATAAGGGGGCACTTCAACCCCTCAAAATTGAATAGGGAAGAGGGGTTGGGTGATACTTCATTTGTAAGGTCCTGAAAGCCTCTTTACAACGGTGTATGAAACAAATCACATTCTTAAAAAAAATCAATTGTTTTATCATGCTTACAATCAAAAAAATCAAAACTGCGTTTTTAAATGAAATGTTCAATTTGTCTTCCATTGACTTCCATGCAATAATAAATTCTCTCGAACTAATAAATAAAAAAAATCAAAACATTTTCTTATATTGCCTTCATTTTTTGCTCTTAGAAGGTTTATCACGTTTCTTCGATTTGATATGATAAAACATTGATTTTTTTTTAAGAATGTGATTTTTTCATACACCGTTGTAAAGAGGCTTTCAAGACCTTACAAATGATGTATCACTCAACCCTTCTTCCCTATTCCATTTTGAGGGGTTGAAGCTCCCCCTCATAGGGGGTTGCTGGTTCAAGCCTCAAATATACGTCAAAAGATGTCCCCAAAAGAAAATCATCCGACGTGTTTCAGGAAATTTTTCCAATTATTATGGGGTGGCTCGTCTGAGATGGAACACACTGTATAGTTGTGATCCGACAAAATTAAATACTGGTCCATAAATACTGCAAAACGATTGGTTAAGGAAATCATTCAAAAAAGATGTAAGAATATTCTTGATTCAACAAAAGTATAAATACATAAACAACACTAAAAAACATTTAAAAACAAATGTTCGATTTTGAGATTATATCTAAATTTCTCAAAAATATATTGAATGGAAGATGGCCTTAATTCGTAAAATGCAATACTGGTGCCATCTATCAACAGATAGTCACACTATCGAGTTGCACATATTTCTTGTAGATGCCGAAACTTGATTTTAAATTAACGCACTTTTCTCTCACGCTCATGGAGAAACGATTATTACTCACGTTCAGGCCTCGCAACGAAATGAAGTCAGGCGTAACAAAAAAGCTACAAAAAAGTTACAAAAAACGAGCCTGGTCCGAGCTGGTGCCGCTACAAATATCCGCTAAGCTAGCGGATCCGCGCTTTTCTCAGGTTCAGTACAAGCTACAAAAGGGAGACTAGCGCAACAAAAAAGCTACAAAAAAGTTACGAAAAACCAGCTGGGTCTGAATCTATGCCGCTACTATGGAATTTATGGAAATTCAAGCTAGCGGATCCGCTGTTTTTTCGGACCTGGGCAAAACTACAAATTCGCAAATAGCGTAACAAAAAAGCTACAAAAAACCCGCCAGGTCTTGAATGGTGCCGCCACAGAGTGCCCGCTAGCTTGATAGAGCCGCAAGTTTTCACTATAATTTTCGCGATTACTTTTGCATTTCAGGTTTTGAGTGTATTTTTTTCAGCTTTATATCATTTTGATTTAAAATGGATAATTACACGTAAGTTCAACCGTTCTTTGATTTAGGTTCCTGCAAAATTAACATTTTTAGTTGTAAACAATTAACTTGCGAATATTGCAAGCAAGGATTTTCAAAGAAATTTAATCTTAATCGGCACATGAAAAATATCCATAATAAGGAAAATGAAGTATTATTCTTTCAGTCAAGTGGTAAAAAAAGTCATATATTGGGTCCTATGATTGAACGTTTACGTTATCCGTAACGTACCTGTTAGGCCGAATTTTAAAAGTAACGAGGCAAGTTCGGATGATGGAAAACTGTTAAATTAGAAGATAACAGGCGAAAAATAACAGTAACGTGTTGAAAAAAATTTTTCATCATACGAATTTGCCTCATTTCTGTTAAAACTCGGCCTAACATGTACGTTACGGATAACGTAAACGTTCAATCATAGCACCCAATATGTGTTGTTTGCCCAGTTACAAAGGTATTGTTATTTTTGTTAAAAAAATACCTAGAATGTTTTGCTTTAAAATAATAACTTTTTAGGTTATTGGTGCTTATCGAAAATACAAGGAATATATTAAACACTTACAAGAAATTCATAAGATTAATGTAGAACAAAAGACCTATCATTTCAATAATAAAGACGGTTTTGAAAATTGGCACTGCAGAGAAAACCGAGATGTAGATTATGTAATTCAGAACAACAGTATGAATAAAACTTCAACAAAAATATATTACAATTGTAACAGAAGTGATACCCAAGGTAAATCTAAAATAAGGCCCTATTTTTAAATTTATCTAAATTTGAAATGGCAAAAACAACAAAAATTCAAATATACTATAATAATATAAAACTTACTTGATCCATCCTTCTGTCAAAATCATTTAATTTTTGTTACACTTTTTTAACTTTAATATAAATGTAATGTAGATTTAGCTGGTTAAATTTGAGGGAATATTCTAGGGTATATTAGCAACTGCAGCAAGAAAATTTTAAAAACAGGTGGAAGTATTAAAATTAACGGAACGTGTCCATCTAGAATAATTGCAACATTTTTACCTGAGGGTATGTGCACAAATATATTGATATTTTTTTAGATCTTATTAATAGTTATATAACTTTTATGTTTATGTAGGAGACGTTATGGTTATACATAATTATACACATGTAGGACACGAAACAGAAGTTAGAACACAGCGGTTATCGAAGGTTAATCAGAAATATTTGGTAGAACAGTTGCAAGCAGGAGTAAATACGGATCGGATAATAAAAAATGTCAGGCAACAAGAGAGTAGTATACCCTCCAGATTAAATTTAGTAACTAAAAATGATTTGACAAACTTAATGAGAAGAAATAATATTGCAGAAATGCAGAAGGCACAGTAATGACATGGTTGCGGTAGCAATGAAAGTAAATGAATGGAATGCAGATGATAAAAACTTCTGTTTTTTGTTCAAACAATCAGGTATTTTTTTTATTCAATATATATATATATATATATATATATATATATATATATATATATAGTGTGTTTTTGTTTGATATCTTGAAAACAATTTAAATATGAAAGTTGTTCAGCACTATTGGGATATAATAAGTATATATGTTACACCTTTTTTTTTATTTCTTTGGTTTTGTTCATTATGTTTTTGATGGTGCATGTTTGGTTGGTGGTAAAAATAAGTATTGTAGGGGAAGCACATCCTGTTTTGAAAGTTGAAGATTTTGCTTTGGCTTTTATGAATAATACCATGGAGAGGAAATTTAGAGAGTTTGGTGATCTAGTTTGCATAGATGGGACGCATGGGATAACTAAATATAAAGGATGGGAACTCACTACTGTATTGGTGAAAGATGAAACCAAAGCTGGTTTCCCTGTGGCATTTATGGTTTCTAATAGACAAGATCAGATTATATTCAAGAAATGTTTTTAGGAGCATTGAAAGAAAAACTTGGACCGATAAACATATCAACAAACATTTTAATGACCGATGATGATATAAAATATTACAATGCTTGGATTAAAATTATGGAAAGTAACCCAAGAAAACTGTTATGCTCCTGGCATATTTTGAAAAATTGGAATATTCAAGGTGAACCTTAATTTTATATACCTACCCATAAAAATTATATAGTACTGGTTATTGTAACTTATTCTAACATTTTTATATAGGGAAGAGAAAATTGA